AAAAAAAAAAAAAAAAAAAAAAAAAAAAAAAAAGAAGGGGAAAGCCAAAAAAGAAGAAATAAAACAACAAAAACGAAAATATATAAATGAAAGAAAGAAAAGAAAAAACAAAAAATAGAACGAGCAAGCACGTATTTTTTCTTCATAACATATAAATGACCTTTTAGCGACATTATATGCATTTTTAAGCATGTAGCATTTGACGCTGTGTTGCTCAAATGGTACGCCATATTATTATATGTCACAGTTAAAAGGCATTTCATTTGTAATAAAATACGCCGACATCAGGGGTAAAAAGAAAGCGAACAAAGCATATTCCTGCAAAGGAACTGCTTCCGTATTAGGGGAAGCGCGAATAGAGAAAGAGGGCGAAATGATTTTTCATTATCAGTGAATGAAGGAAATAACTCGTTTTCTTGAGCCAAGTTAAAATTTTGGCCCATGACTCTGTTAATTTTTGCACCCCAAAATAGGGAATAAAAGGAAACACGGTAGAGTATGTTGGTATAACATAAATCCATGGGAATTTTTCGATAGGGAAAAAAAGAAGCGAAAAAGAAAAAGGTTTTAAAAGGCTACATTGTATTACCAAGAATAACGGAAGTGTTTATACAAAACTATACACGGACAGAGGTCAAAAAATCCCAAGGGGAAAGGAAAAAGAGGGTATATTGTTAGTTTCCACACCATTTTCCTAACTCCTCCAGGGAATATGCGACTTTTCGCACGAATAGGGCAAACACCCCCCCCCATAGTTAGCCAACGTATGACCAGCGGACAAGTCTACAGTTCTGTCTCCCTCTCCGCCTGGTACATAAAAGACAAGCCTGCTGTTGCTTCTTAGCTGTTGAGGCCAGAAGGAGGCAGAATGAAAAGGGATAGAAACCAACATATAGGCGAAGGGAAAGGGAAGAGAAAAAAAAATGATCATGGTAATGACGTCGGCGTGGTAGGGCAACTTGGGACAGGAAAGGAAGGCGCCGGAGGAGGGGGAAAAGGTGGGACTGAAAAAAGTGGGAAGGACATTGAAACGTTTAATCCGCAACTCAGCGCAAGAGAGTTGAAAAAAATTCAGTACTACGAAAATATGTTTAAGAAAATGGAGCGTAAAAGGGAGGAGCGCCAGAACGAGGGGGACAGCAAGGGGGATAACAAGGTGGATAGCAAGGCCGACAACAAGGGGAAGAAGAAAGATAACAACCAGAGGAGCATGAAGAGGGAGACAGAGCCGAGCACTAAGGAGAAAGGGAAAGAGTCCAGTGGAGAAGCACTTGAAGAGTCAGGAAAGGTGGCAGGTGAGGCAGTGGTCACGAAGGAAAAAGAAGACCACGCTAAGCAAAGTTGTGTGACGGGAACTGCCCAGGGAAACAGCCAGAAAGGGGGAAAAAATGCGGAAGACACAAAGGAAGCGAAGCACAAGCCGAAGAAAGCGAATCCAAAGATGGAGCCAAGAGAGACATGTGCAAATGCAGTCAGCTGGGAGAAACAAGATGAACCCCAGTCGATGGATGATAACGAACGCGGCAAGAATAATAAATGGAGAAATGTAGAAAAGTCTCAAATCAGAATTAAGAAAGAGGAGTTAAGCATGGGCAAAGGTACTTGTTCCAAAGTTACGGAAGGAAGCAATAAGGCTGTTACGTTGAAAGGAAAGAAGTGTTTAGATAATTCGAACCGCCTTGTGCGTGATATTGAGGGAGGAGGAGATGATGATGAGTTGCACAGTACGGAGAGGAACTTTCCACGTGGTGAAAGCTACAACCGTCAGAGTAGTGCTTCCCCAAAGCATTATACATATAAGAAGAACGGAATGGCAGAAGCAGGGAAAGGGGATAAGGTAAAGGAAGAAAATAGAAAAAGTAGTGTAAGCCGCCACAAAATGGATGGCGACAAGGAACACGAATCAGATCATGATGTAAATTATGATAATGCTCCGAATGAGATGATAAACTTCAAGGGGAAGAGGAAAATTTACTCAGAAAGGGAAAGGGGAAAAAGGGTTTTAAAGATTAAGAGGAGCTTCTCAGTCAGCTCAAATATAAATGAATATTTTTTCGACACAAGTTCTATACAGTTGATGAACTATAATGACCATGACCCCAGTGCGTACGGAAAGGAAGAACATAGTTCAGGGGAAGATAATGATAATGAGCCAACCTTTAATTACAAAAAGAAAAAACTCCTACAAGTGTTAACACATACAGATGATAAAGACAGTGACACTGTTAATTCCTTGGTAGTAGGGAATAATGGCAGTAGTAGCAATAACAGCGAGAGGGGCAATTATAATTTGTCCGATTCGGAAAAATGGCTAATATGGAAAAATAAAAAAAATTACAATATTTTGTTCGCTTCGAATAATAACAGTAGGAAGAGAAACAAATGGCACATTGTACGCAGTTATGATGAGCTCCGCGTCGGAACAAATAAACATGTGGACTTGCATCCACATGGTAAAGAAAATGTTGTTTATGAACAAATGAATATGAATGGCAGATCAAATGGCACCGAATATTTTATCAATAGGGATACTCTACCCTTGCAGAAGAAATCATTTTGTGAAAAAAAAATTCACGCGAAAACTGTACAAGGTAGTAACACCACAAATATGATAATGCATGCTAATAAAAATTTTGATGTCACTTGTTGCATCAGGAAATATCTTGATAATATGCGGTACACAAATTTAAAAAAATTAAAAAACGTGAACAGAGGGAATTTAAAATTGTATGTGAACGGGTGTACAAATTTTTTAAACTTTGACAAGGTGGATAGCGCTATCCTGTCCATGCGGAAATTCCAGGAGGCGCTGCAGCGGAGAGGTGGCGTAGGTGGTCGTGGAGAGGGAGACGCAGCACCTTTGTAAATAAGGAGAGCTTGCGAATTAACTGACTGCAGGGATGTGTGGGGTAATCCGGTCGCCCATTTACGATCCTGCGTGTGTATGCAATATGATATGGGGTAGAGTGAAGAGGCTCGCGGCGTTTGATAATGTTGTACCTTCGCTTGTCCCATTCTGTAGTAGACATATATGTTGCACATAAATTTGACGCACCCCAGAAGTAGTGACAAAAAAAACTTTTGCATTACTAACATGTGTGTGAAACGAATAGAATCCGTGCTGGATAATGTGGGATAGAAAAGTCCTCATAATTATCCTCATCACCATCATCGTCACCATCATGGTCACCATCATCAGCAGAAGGGTGAGGGGGGCACGCTTCTTCGACTTGTCACGTGCATTTCCTTTCATCCCCTTTTTTTTTCTTTTTTTTTTTTCGTTATTCCATTGTAATAATTCGCAATTATGTATGTATGCCCATACAATACACATGATTGTACAAACACACAAAACACCTCCTCCCTACATATGCATTGAGCGCATACGCGCAGTTATGCCTGTAGAGGGATATCTTTTTTTAGTTAATTTGGTCAGTTGTACCAATTTAAATTTTTTTCCTGTTTTTTTTTTTTTTTTGAATCTTGTTTTAATCCTTCCCCGTTTCGCGCTAATATATATTGTGAGAATGGGAGAAGATGGTATGACATGTCTCCTTCATGGTGTATTAACGCAATTCTGGTTATGTGTCGTATTGATCATAACTCTGGGTTAACGCGGCATAATACTTTTCTTCACAGATTATCTTCATTTGTACAGCTATAATGATACTATGTGGACAGATCTTCTACTCTCATTTGGTCGTCTATTTAAATGTTTAACCTTTTTTTGAAATTCTGCTTGTGGGAGGGGACGGAAAAGGGTGATATGTGGGTAATATGGTTATTACATGATGTGGTAAAACGGAGTGAAGCCAGCTACAGGGAGGGGTCACACACCCCTTTTTTTCACTTTCGCGTTACTCACCTGGAACCTGTTGGCCGCCGTGCGGGAGAGGCACTTCTTCCCTTGCCTCAAAACTTGATTAACCAAGTTACCACCGTCCGACTCCAAAACGGAGTAGACAAATTTCGGAAGAAGGAAGTGTTCGTGAATCAGATGCGACAATTCATATTTGAAAGTAGCGTAATTATTATTGTAACATGATAAAATATGGTTTCCAATTTTTGGGTTAATATTTGGGTTTATGTTATTTCGTGAGGAGAGCTGTAATTTTTCTTCGTCACTTTTATTTGTACCAACTATTGTGGTGTGTACGTTGTCTGAACAGGTTACATGTTGATTGTAATTTTTGTCCTGTTGTGAGGGAGGGGAAGATGATGTACATTTATTCTGTGTAGTTTGATCTTGTTTGCTTAGGAAAAGTTTATCGGCATGCTGGGTGAGTGGTGACATGTTGCCGCCTGGTCGTTCAGTGACATGAGGAGATATATCTCTCATTTTGTAGTGGTAAAAGAAGAAGAACAAATTTATAAGATTGTTAATTTCTTTCCTGCCCGCTTGTGCATAAATTAAATTGTTGTAATTATCCGTTTTACTTTTTTTAATTTTTTCCTCTATTATATGTTTATCATCAAAGAGGTAAATAATGTTATGGGCATTTTTAAAATTTCCCGAAAGGTTATCATCGTTATGTTTGCTCATTTTTTGTTGTCCATCAAGATTCATTATTTGTACATGAAATTTGGAGGGGAATATTTTTGGTAAATTTATCATATGAGGAAAGTACGAGTTTATTTTTCTCGAAATTGTTTTCATCACTTCGATATTTTTTTTTTGGTCTGCTCCCACTATTAAGTAATCTGGTTTGTATAGCAAAATATCTGCTAGCATTAAATTTGGGTAAGAAAGTAACGCCACGGATTTATGCTTTGGGAAGTTCTTTACATGCACATGTTTGTTCAGCATGTTAACTGAAGTGAAGGAGTTTATGAAATAATAGAGTGACGTATGTTGTGCTATGTCCGACTGTCTAAATATATAAAAATAGTGTTTTTGTTTTAATTTTTGTTTGACGTAGTTAAACGGTGTATCTTCGTCATTGCATGGGATATTGTGCTCTTGGGAGACTTCATTATCATTCTTCACGTATGAGTACTCATTTCCTGATGGGTCTTTTAAAAATGAGTAAAATGAGTAATCTTGGGTAGTGGTGTCACGAGCGCGTTGATGAAACATTTCTTCGTTGATAATCCGATTTATGTTGCCCAGTTTCAACAGATTCTCTAATTTTACATTATTTATGAAAACCTGTAGGTATTTTTTTTTTTTTACATACATGTCCATTATTAAAGAGAGAATGGTGTTAACTGAATCGACGACGTTTGTTCTTAAGGTGGGGAGCTTATCTACACTTGTTAAGGAATGCAAATCTGCTATTAGTATTATTTTGTATATCTTCACCGTCTTTTTTGTTTTTCTGTTCTCGAAAGGGGCGTTCCTTTTGGCTTCCAAGTTTATAATTGGGTTTAGGCACCCGATGTAGTTCCCCAGGTGAATGCTGCCGCTCGGCTGTTTTTAGCCAAAAAAAAAAAAAAAAAACAGAGATGGAAAAATTAAGAAACGTAACGGGATGGGCACAGGAGAAACGGTGAAGTCAGGAACGATCCCGCTGCACATCATTGTAAGTAGCCCCAATTCACACGTGACACATTTGTGGACAAGTTTATTACCTTAATGCCAGTTAGATAGGTACAACCATTTCTAAGGTTAACTTTGAATTTTGTTCTTTTGACTTGGGGAGCCTTCGACAGAAAGGGAGTGCATCCTCCCCTGCGCACCATTTTATTAGCATATGCGTAAAGGTCAATCTGCGCTAGTATGAGGAGACATAAAATGAGCACTCGTCCGCTCCACATTATGCATTCCTTCGACATGAACTCGTTGTGTGCCCATACATCTGACCTCAAGTGTGCTGCGAAAACGCATCGAAGAAATCAAATGGCGCAGCCATTTTTCTTAAAAAGGAATAAAAAATAAAGAACACCCCCCAGAAGGATACGTACAAAATGAAGTATACCCACTTTTTATACATTTCAGGGGGAATTTTTGCTAGGACAATGTTTTCTTGCCGCGAACTCGTTTGCATTGCGTGAAGTTCTTTCGTACATGGAAGTGTAAAATGCGTATTCTGTCGCTTATCCAGGTAAAAGTTTTTTTTTTTTTTTTTTTTGCGTTTTTTCTTTTTTGCAAGTGCATCCGAGGCAGAAGGAAAGTGGGCAGTATAGCATAACGGGTACCCTATATGTTATTTTCTCCACTAGCATTTGCCTTAGCATAAGAGAAAAAAATCTTCTGCGTCAGAATTGTGCAGAGATGATAATATATGTGCCAATTCAAGCAAAAGGAAAACGGAGAAATGGAGCTTCCCAATCGGGGAACATTTATGCGAAATAAAAAAAAAAAAAATTAGCCCATTTGACGAGAGAAAAAAATTAAAAATTAATGGTTCACTTTTTGTTATAACATAAATATGCAATTATGCGCTGTCGTCCTCTTTGACGCAATACCATTTGGGGTTTACAAATTTGGAAAAAAAAAAAATCATCATTGGGTAATTGCTACCTGGGTAACCACACAAATGCAGTCTTGAAAAGGGGAATTTTATAAATACCGCAAAACGAATTTCGCACAAATTTGGAGTTAATTTAAAATTGGTGAGTTAAGCCCTTGGGATTGAGGAAGGAATTCATATGACAGGAAAAACATCGAATCGTCATACATGCGAATGTACATGCGGCTGCGCATACGCATTTGTTGGGGCGGTTCACACAAAAAAGGGGGGGGGGTTGGAAAAAGGCGCCTTTTGGGAAAACACACACTCTGGCGCAAATAGGCATATGCACAAGCACGTGTGTTAGAAAAGCAAGCATGGAAACACGCCTGCTTAAAGGATAAGACATAAAAAAGGGTTGTGGCTCTGCGCGAGTCCACATACAGGAACGACGCACGAAATCAGAAACAGTGCACACAACAGTGGTGGTACAAAAAAAAAAGTAAAAAAAAAAGTTAAAGCTCAAACAAATCATCCAGTGAATACTTCTTAGTGTTTACAGAACTGTGCAAACTATGGGCACTTTTTTTTTTAATCTTTTCATTTATTTTGTTGATTATAATTTGTCGCTTATTTAATTTGTGGTTTATGTTCGTTTGCAGAGAGTTCTTGCTTTTGAGGTGTACTCCACTTTTGGAGTCCATCTGGTTCACATGTTCTTTTAAATTTGTTTTTTCCGATTTGCCCGGCTGTGCCGTAGCTGGGGTACTATGGGTATGAATGAATTTGCTAGTATTAGGGTCGCTCTCCTTCAAGTTGTGTGCGCGTGCGCCGCTGGTATCGCCTTCCTTCATTTTCTGGTTCATAATTTTGGTTACCAGTTCCTGGTTATACAAATTGTGTAAGCATAGGTTGATTACGTCCGGGGTGTAAATAATTTGGGTGCCTACTGTATCGCTACATTGTGGGGCATTTACGCCACCATTTTGGGTAGCCTCCTTTCTGGCAGCTTGATCAGGATTATCTAACAGGTCAACAGTAGAAGGCGGATCTTTGCTTTGATCATCTTGTGAGTTATTCACGTTAAACGATTTCTCTTGTTGGGGACACATTTGTGTGTTATCTTTACCAGGATCATTTTGGATGTTAGCACTATTGGGGGAGCTTCTCCCAACGATGTTGATTTTTTCAGTCCTTTCTCGTAATGCTTCTTCATTTAGGCACTCTTTTTCAGAGTTCCCATTTGTGGTAGGAACCCCATGACTGGTGCTTTTTTTTGCCTGGTCCGCTTCTCCCCCTTGTGTAAATTCACTCTTCAAAGCATAAATGTGGGAATCATAAATTACATGGTCAATAAAGGTTAAAAACGAGAGGGAAAGAATATTAACCAATTTGCTATCTACATCAATGGAGGAAGAATTTTTCTGTTGACCTTCTGTCATGTCTTTTATGTATCTATTCAAAATTTGAATTTCGTCCGTTACGCTATTTTGTGTGTTGAGAAAATATTGTGGTTGTACATCCTTGACCTCCTTTTTAGCACTTAAGGAATTTTTATAAAAATCGAGGGGTGCATCAGATTGGCAAATATTTTCATACAACTCTTTAATTGAGTCTATGGAGCTATCTGCTTCGGCTTCTGCTTCTCTTTCACTTTCATCCATCGACTTTTCACTCCTACTTGAGTACAAAATGTCTATGTTAATGTTATCGCTTTTTACTGTCGGATTCTTTTTTGCAATCCCCTTGAGGTAATTCTGTGTTACAAATTCATAATTTGTTAGGTATGCAATTTCATCATCTATAAGGGGGTCGTTCGTTTTGCTAACTGTGGCCAGATTAGCTGCATGTGCGGGGTGAATGGGATTGAACGGATACATTGCCAACCCAGCGTACTCTGGATTGGGTCCACTTTTTATCTTCCTTTTTTTGGGGGTTTCTTTGCTTAAAAATGAGGTACTTCTTTTTGCATCACCTGGAATATTTTTTGTTTTTTTATATGATGTTCCTGTTCCCTTTTTAGTGCTCACATTTTCCTGACTCTGCTCATTTGGTGCAGCACCTGGGCTGCTCACTTGAGCATTGCTAGAGTTTAGCTGCTTTTCCAAAGGTTTCTCTTCTACTTGTGATTCTTCCTTGAGTAGTTTGTTTTGGTTTTCCTCCGTTTTGTCGCCATCCACCTCCTCTGCGATGTGCACATTTTGGCTGCTCTGTTGCTGCAGCTTTTCGTTTTCGGATAGGAAGTCCTTTTTGATTTCATTTAGCATGTTTAAAATGTCGTAGTTTTCTTCGTCATCGTTCTCATCACCGCGGTTCTCACCGTGGTTCTCACCACGGTTCTCATTCTCCTCATTTTCACCCTTGCTTGCTACATTATGCAATGCCTGTGCGTCGTTCGCGGTTGGTGGGCCAACTTCTTTCTCGGGAATGTGGTATTCACTGGTCAATTCGTTTTCATTTTGACTGAAAAACGTTTCGTTCATCCTATATTTTGGCAGGATATATTAACGTGTTTCTGTTGGCTTTTGTAAAACGCGTTGCGGGATGCAGTACGCACATTGGTGAACATATGCATGAGAGAAGTACATATAAGTGTATATATATAATATATGCACGCGTTTTTATTTTGATGGTAATACATTAGAAAAGCTTCAAAAAATTATAAAAAGAAAAAAAAAAAAAAAGTGAGACGCAAATGGATAATTAAATGGTTAATTTGCGTATACTGCCCATGGGAAGTATGTACATACGTATCTGCATACATGTTTTATTTATTATTTTTTTTTTTTCTTAAAGCACACACGAAAGCTGTATTACTTCCAGCATTTTTTTGTTAACCGTTAAATGAAGAAAAAAAGGGACAAAAAATAGAGCGATTAACATGCAGGAATCAACATTAAAAATGGCATAAAGCAAGAATCTCCCACGTGAAGTGTAAACACGCAGGAACGTGACATTATATTCTTTAATAATTATATATGCTTGGGTGCGAAAATGTTCACGTTCATCCCGTTATGTACGAAATTGTTGGTGTACAGGAAAATGCCTAAATGACAGGGAGAAGCTTATTTCCACTTCAAATGATATGTGACATGGTGGTTGAGACGTATATATTACCTAAGAAGACCCTTCGTTGTGATTTTTTTTTTAAAAACAATGACACGGGTGCACGTAGGAACGTGGACGCAATACAATTCTTTATGTTAAAGCTACATTAAAATTTGTCATCCCCCGCGAACGGCAGAATTAACGAGTTGTAAGATGAGTGAGGCTTCGTTTGGAATTGAAGACCAGATGGTTACGCGAGGTGAGGTGCATATGTATACATATATACATACATTATATATAAGCGTACATATGCTTACATAGATACTTTCGTGTGTCAGTGCGTGACGGAGTTCATGAAAGGGACAGCAGAGAAATGGTTCGTAATAACTTCCTTTATACATATTCTGTCCTGAATTTTAAAACTGTTGCTTAGAACGCCAGAGCCACTTGTCCCTTGTGAATATTAAAAGGGTGTTTAGGGAAAAATATCATGACATACCAATTGGCTATAACGAACCAGTCATTACTTAAAGTTGTAACAAGAAAAGTACCAAAAGGGTGTGATGATAACTAACATTTTATAAGGGGTACGGTACATCATTTGTGAAGTTACGCATGCCGTCCTTCAGCACAGAAGGATAAGTTGGCGAAGCATAAATTTGTATATGAATAACGTATACACGTGCAACGTCGCATGCTCATAGACGGGTGTAAAGCTACGTTCCCATCATAGTTCCACAGACAGACCATTTTAAATCTGTGCGCGACGGGATGTTTGTTAAGGAAAGACCTCTAGCATGGTAAGTACCAATTTGATCATTCACATTTGGCAGCGATATGTTAAGGCCCATGTATGTACTATTTCTGCATGACCATATTAATTGCGATGCCGTAGGGTCAGAACAGATAAGCGTCTCCGCTTTTTACATTTTTGCCTTAAAGCAATTGATGCTGTTTTTTTTGTTGGTTGTTATCATTTGTCCGTCTGCTTTTTTCCCGTATTTTGTATACGAAAATGCATAACATGTTGGTATTTAAAAAAGTGACATGGGGCCAAATTTCTCTTTTCTCATTAATACAGGATCATGCGCATATGGTACAAATATTCTTAAAATAAGGAAAACATTTGCGTGTGATGATTTTTTTTTTTGGTTTTTCGTTTATTAATTTGTATACATAAATGCAGCAGTTACGTTTTCTTTACCCAAAAGGTATTCAAATGTTGTTATGATTTTTAAGCGAAAAATGGAATAGCAATTTTTGCCCCTTTGAGAAAAAAAAAAAAAAATGGGAGCAAGTTTGCCGTTGTTTCAATTGTGTTTATGGGAATGGCACCAAGGGGGACAGTGCTTTTGACGCTATAGAAAATATGCATAAGCACTGCTGTAGAGTGCGAACTGTGCAGCAGGTGGGTTTTCGCTGAGAATCAGCGTTTGAAGCGAGCATGGTCTAGTGGCTATGACGCCTGCCTAACACGCAGGAGATCCCGAGTTCGATCCTCGGTGCTCGTATTATATATATATAAAATAAATAAGAAAAAAAAACAAATCTGAACACGTTTTTGTTTTTCTGCAGAAAAATGATAGGAAAAATAATGGTAGCTTAAAACAATATATTTGCGTGTTATGTTTTATTTTAGATTATTGAATTCTGAGATTTTTATAATAAATATAATAATGTTTTCCCCCTTAAGGCATTGGCATTTTCCCGTTCAAAGGCGCATATTGGCCCACAGTATTCAATTTCGTCACCTTAAATTTTATTATGCCGTGCCGTTTGAGGAAAGAATTTGGCTCTTCAGATTTTATAGCGAAATGTAAAAGAATATAAAGGAAGAGGGAGAAAACAAGTTGAAGTAATATGTCCTTTTTTCGTTTTATGGAATTTTTTCGTTTTTTTTTCAAACTAGAAGAAATAAATTGCCATATTATATGAGCTTCAATGATATAAGAATTTGCCAATAACGACGATGTTGCACTCTATGCAGAGGTATACTTAAAGGATAATATTATAACAACACTATCCCCGCGTGCTGTATTTACCCGAACTGTGTCATTTTTTTTATAATCTCGACATTGGAAAATGCATGCTCTAGTGGGTGAACAAGAGAACGTTAAGAAAGACTATGAAAAAAAATATAATATGTGTTTTGTTATATTTGGGAAAAAAAGAACGTTTCATGTATCAACTAGGAGGCATATTATAGGACGCAAGTTACATATGTAGAAAGGGGAACAGTATATGTACTGTACCCATTTTTCGCTAGCCATACGCATGTACAGTACATTCATTTAATGACGAGACTGTCTTTTTCTGCTTCAAGGGACGTTTGATTTCTTTACATTATGTATGTACATTAATAATTTCAGTCTTTGCCTTAAGATCATTTGGTTAGCCTCCATAACAGGTAGCCTTCCGAGAGACATGGGAAATATTTATCAGCTGACATTGAATTCAGCACGTTTCTTTTTTTTTTTTTTATACCTGATTTTATAAATCATAAGAAAAATAGCTAGCAAAACAGGCGAAGGTTATATTTTGACCATATTAAGTACAGTTCCGCACTTCATAATTCACCACAAAAAGGTTGGTTTCTCTTTTTTACCAAATATGTGTAAACATATAATGGTCTAATGAATCCCATTGCGTATATGTTTCATATTCTACGTGCACTTTTGTTTTTCGAATGGCACACTAAAAGTGTGTATTCCATCTGGAAATAGTGACATTTTTTTGTGGATGAATTATGACAGCTTGTAAAAGGTCATGGGGGAAAGAGCAACGCTTACATTGACTCACGTACAAAGTGGGAGGAAATTTAATTCTTAATGACTGCAATGTGTTATTGTTTATTTTACTGATACAGTTTAAATGAACACACGAGGAATGGCGTTTCCCTATTTGGAAGTTTTTACTACTGTACGGTACCCACCCCGCCAAAAGAACTATTCATTTCACGAATTGCAACATAAAAAGATTTTTTTCAGTTTCATAGTGCAAATTGTAGAGGATTTAAAAAAAAAAGAAAATAACTTTTCATGTAAATATAAATTGGGGTACACATACATATATGATATGTTACAGAAGAGTAATTTCTGTGATTTATCACGTTATATCACTTTCTATATTACATTTTGTCACACGTGAGAATCAAGAATTACCACAGTTGTATGTGCACAAGCTACATTTCTTTCGAAGAGTACTAAAAATACGATAGCGCTGCTAATATCGGTGCACAAGTGTGAACGGTTAATATTATCCCTATTGTTACCCTAGCAAAATGAGCTGTTCAGTGAAACAATGTAACACTATATAATATGTACTATAAAGCCAGGGTAATAAAAAAAAAATATATTATTTTTTCTTTTAGCGAGGCTTAATTTTATTGCCATTTCTGGATGAAGAAAACCAGATATTAGTTTGTAGTAGCAGTTGTATTATATATAATAAATAGAATTTTTGTTCTATAATTGCGCATCATAAAAACTTTGTTATTATAATTTATTAAAATTTGTTTAATTAGTTCCCCATTAAAATTGAACTATCCTTCTTACAATTATTAAAAAAATAAACATTATTCTCATTTTTATTATGTTTAAAAAACCATCTGTTGAATTTTAAAAAGGTCTCGCCGGGACTCGAACCCGGGTTGGAGGATTCAAAGTCCTCAGTGCTAACCACTACACTACGAAACCGTATGTACAGAAAATGTCCCGCACCACTCATTTCTTCTTTCGTTTGTATATTACCCACGCGTGCAGCATGGTTACGCGGTATTTGAAATTTTACATCTGCAACAATTTTTCAAGCTGAAATGGCTTTTATTTATTCCAATAAACACGCAGAACAACAAATTTTTAACATAAAAAAAAAAAAAAAAATTCAAAACTGTAACAACCATCGGGTTTATTTACCAAGTTAGCGCAACATAAATAGGAGGCGCGAAGACAAAAAAATGATTTCTGGCAAATATATGTACACTGTACTTATGTCGCGACTGAGTAGGGAACTAATTATATGGTACGAGGTGACCCCATTTTTCCTAATGATAACAGAAAGTGCAAAGGAGTCACTTCAACTTGGATGCTTATATGCATATGGCACAATTGACCTCTGTGTTCGTGGCCCTGTTTTCAGGGTACTTCACGTGAAAGGAAGTGGAACAGGAAAATATGGTTCAGGTAGGCATTCTCTACATGTTGCTACTCCGTTTTGGGAAAAGAATTATCCTAAATTAGTTTTAATCGTTTTGCACATGAACATTTGTTTAAATGGTGATTTTACTATATATGGACATATTAACACAGAACGGTCGAAAACAATGGGGAAACTTCTTTTCCATCCTATTGAACCCTATGTGTTAGAACTACACACGTGCGCACGTAGAAAGGACATGTTGCATACATATTGTTCCAGTGGAGCAGGTGTGTATGAGATGAGGGTCACCTAAATTGACTTTTTTTTTTTTTTTATAAAGTAATTGAAAATCGACATGATGATTAGCGTGAGGGAAGTGCTAATCGGGAGAGAGAAACGGTATAGCAAAATGCATGTAAAAAAACAAAAAGAAAAAAATGGTAACGAAAAAAGTTTAAATCAAAAAAAATTAAACCTTAAAAAAAAAAAAGGAAAGAAAAAAACGAAGCGGAAAGTCGTTTCCATGCTACCGCACACTCACATGATGCTGATAACGAAAAAAAAAAAAAAAAATTGGTGTCACATGATTAGTGAAAGTGTAGAGAGGTAATTAAAGCTCGTGCATTATGCTTTGCTACTGAGCATATGTTTGAGAAAGAAACCTACGAGATATGAAACAATCATGAGATTTTTGCGGGCACAAATTAAATTGAGTCGGAAGGCCTCCACGTTGGATATATAGCATTCCATTCTGATTAACACATATTTATGGAATGTATAGATTATCATTTCTATTTTTCCTGAGCCATCCAAGGAACTTAAAAGTATGACGAAAAACCCTGTAGTATCGCTTAATACGATACTTAACACCAAGGAGAAAGTAACCAATATTGATATATATATGTCTTATGTTAAATAATGTATACATAGAATTCCATATTTCAATTTTTTTAGGTAACTCAAGTGAACTGAATAGTAATTCGTTATATGTTAATTTTGGGTGGAAAACTGAATTATTTTCAAGTTGAAAATTTTCATATATATTTTGTCTCCTGGATGGTTCGATATAAGTTTCATGTACCTGTAAGCGTACCTCGGCCAATGCTGTAGGATTTTTAAATATTTGTGCTAGTACATTAAATGCTTCACCTCTGTTGGTTATGTACATTATTATGTTATTGTAACGATGTGTAATGAAGTTGTTGAAGAGGAGATCGAAGCATTTTATATCTCTACAATCTATTGATTCTTGGAACATTTGCACAAGTCTATCTATGGCTGTATCGTCAAATAGATTTCTGTACTCTTTAAGTGTGTTTAGATGACGTACAATTTTATCCTTCACGATAAGTTCTCTCTTTAATTTGGACTTTACCTCCATTATGTGGAAAGCATAGCCTTCGTTAATAACTTGTAACACATAACGGAGTTCCCTGTCTGTCAATCTTTTCAATGGTGGATAAATTAGAAAATCATTAAATAGCTGAAATTCGACAATTCTGTATAGAGATATGATATCCGTTCTGGATCCTATAAATCCTTTTTCGCTACTTGACTTAAGCTTCTGAATTGCTTCGTTAATGTCGAGCAGCATTTTATTGATAAATGGATTTAAATGCTGGTTTCTTAAAAATTTATTTTTCCCCCTCATAATGGTGAGTCCCTTTTTGATTATCTCCACCGGAGAAACAACAGAAAATTTGTTTAACGAAATTATGGTATGTACAATTTTCATTATGACGCTGAAATTTCTAAATAAATTTGCCTTATTAACAAACATGTTGTATGGTCTGTTAAAATATCCATAGTTTTCTGTACTCATGTTATTACTTCTTTCATGTATCATGGTGTCTATAAGTGGGAGTGGATTCATTTCTCTTCTTTGTAGGAAGCTTAGACCGTTTGTTTGATTGGACTTGTTTTTCCTTTCTGATTCTTTTGTCACTTGGACATTTCCTTGTTCCCAATCGGTATGTTCCTTTATGGCCGTTTGTAGGAAGTTGACCGATCTTGTTGAGCCTGAGATGGTGCTTCCTCCTGATTTGTTACTTTGGAGGGTTGTGGTCGACGCGTTGGAAGCGGCACGTCCGAGAGTGGAGGTGGAAGCGTGGGAGGCGGCACGTCCTAGAGTAGATGTGGACGCGTCAGGGATGGTACTGGCGACGCTTTGGAACGATCCGGTAGACACATCAGAAGCGGAGCTCACATGGGATAGGGTGTCTTGATCCGCCTTGGAATTCTTTCCAACGTTCAGAAGATCGCCCTCGAATTCTGTGTCTGTGAGATCTGCTTCCGATGCGGATGTATCCTCCAAATATTCTTCCTGTTCCATGATATCTTCGTCCTTTTCGACTTCTTTCTTAAAGAGATCCTCTACTAGCTGTTCATCTATCTTTTGCTGTTCTAACTCCTTTTCTTCATCCGTTTTGGACAATAAATCTGCTTCCTTGATCAGTCCGATGTTACCTACCGTTTCTACGCGAGGTTTGCCTGGATTCAAGACAAACCAGTAGTATAAATTAAAAGGGTAGGTGACAAAAGAGCACTTAACCTTTTGGTAATATTTGCCTACTATAGATTTTCCGATAATATCAAATTGGTCTAGAATATTTTCTTTATAAAAAGGTGGCGTCGTAGCTCTGTTGGTGAAATTAAAACTGAGTCCATTTGCGCCTTGCGCGACTCTAAAATCGGTAAATGGGATGGACGGGATATTAGTCTTGTCCAGAAATTTTTCTAGATAAATATAATTCTGCAACATTTTATTTATCATTTCAACCTCGTTGTTTGAAATAACTCGATTTCTTTTTCTTCCACCAGGGATGTACATGTCTGACGTGGGACCGTTACCGTAATCAGTAGCATTATCAATTTTTTGGTAATAGGTGTCTAAATTTTTAATATCAAAGTCGTCGTAAAATAAGTCTATTAATAAGTAGTTCTTGTAGAACACGTTAATGTCATAAGCCATAATTTGATAGTATTTGTCTAATTTTTCATTATTTTGGGGGATAAAAGTATAGGTTTTTATATCATCCACTGCGTAGCATTCCGTGTGGAAGTTGAAATGGTCGATCGGGTACTTCTTGATGTCGTTATTTCTTTTTATTTTTTCTATAAAGTTTTTAAAGTTTTCAAATTCGATGATAGCGTTAAGGATAAAGTTTAAGTAATTTCTGCTGGCCAGGTAGAAGACTGAGCTGTTCATAGAATAATTTAAATCTCCCGTTACTGCATAGATTTTTATAAAAACGTAAAAATTTCTCAAAAATACAAAGTTGGTAAATCTCATATCTGTTAACATCTTTATGAATCCAATTAGCTGAGATAGATACTGATCTACTATTGGCTTCCACTTTATATCATTTAGTATATGCTCACTTTTATTTTGTGTTTGCACATGGAAGTATTTTTTGTCTTTTCTAAGTTCATTTAAATCGTAATTATACTTTTTCTTTATTATTAAATTAACAATTCTGTAAATTCGCAGTATAATTTGTTCATTATTTATTGAAGTGTTTGGAGACAGCTTGAAATTGTTCAACATGGTTCGTACCGTTTCTTGGCTGGAAGTGTATCTTATAATAGGAAATTTAAATTTCTGGAACACATTAGAGAACATCATTATGTCTTCAAATTTGATATAGATGAGTGGGTATATAGAATTAATATTTTCTGCGCTTTCTAAAATCTCGAAGAATTTTATGAATCTTAATATTCTCATCATTCTGCTTCCCCTAATTTTCTTTCCCAAGGACATTAGCAACTTTCTGCGTGTGAAGGCAAAAACCCTCTTCACATTTAACAGTTTCAAGTACAGATATTTCATGGGCGTTTTATAAACATGTTGCCTTTCATCTATGAATTTTTCCAAAGTTAGGAATTTTTTCCAGGAGAGTCGGTTATTTTTTTTCTCTATTCTGAGCAAGGACATAATTATGAGCAAGTGCTTCACAGCATCATTCGCATAACTGTATTTGAACATATGTTCAATGGCAATATTTTCCTTTTTCAAAAATAAATACGTACCGCATAATATTTTTATGAGATTTTTGTGATCAATTGATGCATACTGCGTGTTCTCCGTCTGCATAAGATCTGTATTCCTTAGGTTCTTAATATCGATGGTACTTCCGTTTAAATTGTTGGACACGTGTTGTATACCTCTTACATTGTCTTTAATAAAGGGATCGAAATCGTAGTACAGAAGGAACAAACATTTTGTGGGCAAATGGGGGAAGTTTTCCTTATTTGGCATTTGGCCATGCTTTTTTTCTATTTGTTCTATAATTTTGTTCCTCTCTTCTTCCCTCGCTTCTGCTTCTTGCTGCAGGGCCTTAGTGTTTTGCACAAGCTCGTCGTCTATGGGCAGTTCGATCTGCACATCCTCTTTCTGGGATTTTGGAGACCCTTCCGCTTCTGTACCATCTGTTTCATCGGAGGGACTCGGCGTTCCATCCTTCTTATGCTCATCATTCTTATTTTCGCCTTCATTTTTGTGTTCCATGTCATACTCCTTTTCCTTCTCCTTGAGCAAGTTCATGGTGTACGACTCATAGTTGTGGGCGTAGTATTTAACCGGGTAGTAGGCCTCTATAAGTTTTTGCTGATACAGCTTGTACGTTTCACTTGTAGGAATTTCGTGCTTTTCAACGTTTTTGTAGAGAGCATATAATGCTGACATGATCACAATGATTGATGCCTCATCCGTTTTGAAGAAGTTTGCCTTATTCAGCACATTTTCCAAAAATATTTTAAACATTTTGGAGAAGGTTCTATGGTTTAGATTGAACCTATATTTTTTGATTCGCCTTATAAATATGTTTTCAGCCCTGTCTTTTGGCTGAGGGGTCGTTTCCATGAACATTCTGTGCACTTCATAGAACTCGGTGGGAACCATGTTTACAAGTGCTCTGTTCCAGGAGACTCCGCGATGGAAGTATTGTTTGACGGCTCCAATCATTGAGGACAGCTGCAAGAGGGTTGGATGGGAGAAATATTGAAATGGATGTAACACGCTTGTGAGGAAGAGAATTTTCGCAAGGGAACACTTTGTGTATATGGCACATTTTTTGTTCGCTAATATGTGAGCTCCTTCCCAGCAAACTTACAATGTAGGCGCTAAATCGGTCGACCCCTGACGCCCATAGGACGTGATGAATCAAGTCGACAACCAAAATATCGTCGTCCTCCTTTAGGCACATATAGCATCTGGTCAATTTTCCTTCAAATTTATCAAAAAATGAGCCTACAATTAAAATTCCATCGTTCCTGTTGGAAGGCTCAAATTTGACTAATGGAACTTGAAAGGATAAAGGGTTTCTATAATCGTGCATGTGGACAAGAGTAGAAAAGGAATCTTTATTGTAATTATCCTTGAAGAGGAATTTAAACAATTTTCCCTCTTTATTGTGGAGATACAGTTCGTTATTTTTCATGGAATAATTATTAAAAACTAGAGAACTGGTTTTTTCATTATTTACTTCTTCTATAACTTTATGAATTTCGTCTAACACAACTTTATCAATTTCTTCGTCGTAATTTATTTCTGGCACATTTATATCTTCCGTTTTTTTCATAGTGTCTACCACATTTTTTAAGTATTGATAAAGGTATAAATCTTTAGAGTCCAAAATGACCTTAAAAAAACTTACGATATATTCTATTATATCTTTGTTTATCATAATATCGTTGTAATTTAAGAAGAGAGGAATTAACAGATTGATAAAAATGTTCAATGGAAAGAGCATTTTTTTTACATCAAACGTGCTGTAATTACATGTCTGGTTCAAATTTTTCGCTATTTCTAGGGGACATTTTTTAAGTATATCATACTTTTCTCCGTAATTTACAAGATTTGCTATAATTCCTGTTGATCCTACAATGATCAATTTCATGGAAGCGTTTAACTGCTTTTTTAAAGGCTCATCGAAGTATAAGCTGGCGTAAGGGAACTTTAGGGATGGCTTATAGTGGAGAAGTTTTATCTTGATTAGGGAAAGAGTAAATTCTATGCAACCTCTATTGATTCTTTTAATGTTTCTTTTTATAAATGGCTTTCTAACCATATCAGAAGAGATTCTTTGTAAGAACATTTCATACATTTGATCCTCATAGATGTATCTAAATTCTGACTCAACATCAGCGTGAAAAAATTCCTTGGGGGGCATTTTACTGATATAATTTACGTTCACGAAGAGTAGCGTGTAAATTTTTGTCAGAATATTAGCCACGGCTAATCGCATGTACGACTCTTCATAGTAAAGCACTTTTCTCGTGATTTTCAGGATCATCAGAATCCTCTTGAACGTCTGCGTATTGTACTGTGGTTCCTTATCCAGGTCCGCTTCTTTGGTCTGCGCGTTTATAGGAAGTTAGTTATAACGTGGTGGTGTTGCAATGTTTGAAGTTAGTTATGACATGGGAACTGTTCTTAATTGTTGTGTTTGTGAATTGCACAAGAACCCTCAACATGCAGCAACAGGAAGACACTTAAGAACAGCGCGCACACGCACATGCACACTTACACTTATCAACTTCATGCCCTCCATGGAATCTATGACATATTTAAAGAGCGCATTACTGAACTCAAAGAAGCCCGTGCCAAGGTTTTTGTCAAGCAAGTTGTTCAAAATGGGGGTTAAGTTTTTTCCGGTCAAATGCTCCGTGACATTTACGTAAGATAATTTCCAAATTTTCGACACTAAGATTAAGGCGTCTCCGTATAGGAGTTTCGAGGCGTAAGGCTGCAGTTCCGGGAACTTCAACACGTTGACTGAGGGGGGGAGGGGGTGGTGAGACAAATTAGGGAGCCATGCGGCGAGGTGCGCATAGACCTACAATCTCGAGCAAGAACGTGCACATATATACGTATATACATATTCACAGTGATCTTCCATTTTCCACTTACACTTCAAAATGGTGCTATACAACTTTCGGTAGGATATTCGAACGAGCCGTTTGATATTTCTATAAATTAGGAAGACTATTTGGCTCAGCTGCGTAATGCAGAAGGTTGATAAGGCAAAGGAAAAGGCTCCACGGAATGGAATCACGAGGGGGTAGAAAAATAACAAGAATGATTTGAACACATAAGACATGATGATCCCATAAGTGTTCTTCATTATGAGCTTATCAAAAGTGGCTATGTTGTTGTACAGATAGGCTTTTGAGAAACACAGGTCTATCAATTCGTAATTTATAACTCCAATAATTCCTCTGAGACTTTGAACAAATGACACGGACATAAAGGTTCTTGCTAGGAGGAGCCCATCATTTTTTAATCCGTCCACCATGCCCCAGTAGGCGTCAGCTACGGGAAGAAGTTTTTGTGTGTAAGGGAAAGGGATGGCATGAAAGAAAAAAAAAAACAAAAAACGTGCGCATTTTGTAGTGATAAAGTGTTTCGCATTATGTGGTGTGCAACGAATTGGCACTCTCTGGCGCTTTATTATTTGCCATCCTAACTTTTCGCCTTCTTGTATATCATTAACGCGTGGTCCATTTCATTTTTAAAAGCATTGTCCAGTGGAAAAGGGGGGCTGTCAAAGTAGGATATCAGGTGTTTCCTGAACACATCATGTTTTTTCCCTGCAAAGGATGGAAGGGTGGATGTGTCGGATGTAGTATATGACAGTTGTTAATGTGTGTGTAAATATACTCCGTACACGTTCAGTATAACGTATCTTTAATTGCCTTTTTTTTTTGTTTTTTTGTTTTTTTCTTATGCTATTACTTGAATCGTGTGCTCTAGATATTAATTTGACAATGTTCTTCACATTTTTCTTATTCATTACAGTTAGGTAGAAGAAGTAGTTAGTACGAGAGAGAGACTCATAAATGGCAACATTCTTGTGAAACTCACCCTCTACGAAAGGTAATGGTTAGTAGTATTGAAGTAGTGCATTTCTTTTTGGTGTGCAGCTAGGCTACGGAACAAGCATGGAAAGCGGTAAATAGCGCAAACATACAAAGGTTCAAATTGCGGAAGTTTATATGCTTCTGCGTTCGTGTGTACGCTTTCGCGTCTTTACGAAACGTCCTTTGTCTTTCTTTCCGTACTTATGAGCAATCCCTTATACAGTATAGTATTGATTAACTTGGCCACATAATACTGGTTAAATATAGCACCACCCTTTAACGATAAAAAAGAGTATTCATTGTAATTAGAACCGTTATTAATTTTGACATCGTGCTTCCCTTCCGCTTCTCTATTTTTAACATAATTCCCTGCAAGGTGGTTGAGGTGGTTTTAACATAAAGAAGAAACATAGTGGTAGAGAGGGGGGGAGGTCCTGCGTATACTTGAGAAAACAAGCACATGTGCTCATTGATACGTGCGCATCCTGTTAGCAAGTATGATGAGTCGCTGTTGTGCACATTTTTGTCACATGTTTGTGTGGAGAAAAAATGGTAAGAAAAGGTGGTATGCGATATGGACACATTTGGTGAATCATACAAATTGGAAGAGGAGAGACAATGGGGCAGATACGCTCTGAACAACTGGTGGAACGGGCAATTTTGTCCCTTGCTCTTGAATTAAAAATAAAGTGAGCGTAATTGCAAATGAGCCCCAATTTGTGTACATGCTGGGGAAACGAAGACAGTGTGCCAGATATATATATGCTCATGTGTACGTGCATATGGAATCTACAAAATAAACGTAAGCTTCGAGACCAGATGTGTCCCCCCTATAGGCTCATTCGTTACCTGAATTGTCATCCCGTTTGTAGCCGGCCAAAAGTTCATGGGTTTTATTTTCTATTTCTTTACATTTTGATACAATGTAAACAAATAAATAAAATGATGAAATGCAAAACCAGTACGTTTTCATTGCAAAAACGGAGGGGAATACAAAACAAAAAAAATTCCCGTTTATTATACTTCTACAGGCAGACTTTTTCAAATACTGTTCTAAGTGTTACATATGGTAAACTAGTTTAATTTGGATGATCTAGGAGGGGTGGTCCATGCGTGCATATTTACACAGGTACACTTATGTACATACATGAATGCATGGATTGTCAAATATAAAAACAAAAAAAAAAAAATTACTCTGGTGAGGAAAAAATTGCGTGAGTTGTAAAAATTCGTTCAAAACATTAAGAGCGCGTTGGGAAAAAAGACCATGTACAGATTGAATATATATTTTTTCTTTTAAACTCACTTTGCGCATCGCGGATCAAGGAAAAAAGGGAAAATAAAAACTAAAGCCATAGGTGCACACATACGTGAATATAATTACGTACAACCTTGCGTACGTGCATAAAAAAAAAGAAGAAAAAAAATTAAACAGAGTTAAACAGAGCTAAAGAGAGCTAAGCAGCATTATAATTATTAGAACAAATTAAAATACAAATTTTATTTAGAATTATGCAGTAAAAAAACAAAAAAAAGTTGCCCCTCTCCGAGTCTTCGTAACCAATGTGCGTACGATTTATCTATATTACATGTGTGTGTAAGTATTTAGTCATGAATACAGTTTTAAAAAAATTCTTTAATACACAATACCAGTTACAAAATATAAGCGTTAAGGAGGAGCAAAAAAAAAAAAAAGATATGCGCGTATATATGCACTTATGTACAGCACGTGCATACTCATATGTACGTTACACGTGTAAATTATTTCTCGCGCAAAGGACTTTTTTCCGAACTGTTCTTGAGTAAAGAGACATACAATTTTTTCGTAAATGCCTTTTTATTACGTAAAAAAAAAAAAATTAAAAAATAAGCCAAAAATATGTGAAGAAAATATTTGCCCGATGAAAGATATACCTATAAAAGGAATACATTTTTTGGGTAAGAAATTTAATATGACCAATGTTTCGAAAAAAAAAAAAATTGTAAAAAAGGAGCACACGTACTGATATGCATTTAAGTGCATCATCCATATGGCATATAAAATGTTCTGCAAATTTCTATTTTAAGATTTTTTCGCAAGGATAAAATTTTTTAAATTCATTTTGATGGGGCATATTCCTCAGTTTACCAAAAAATGACCATTTTGTTCTTGCTTTGTACCTTATTATGTTGATAGGTTCTAGTAGCTCATAGTGTTTGTATTTGAACAAGAGGATAATTCGTTTCACAACGAGTATTCTCATTGCCTATTTATTCACATAAACATATATTCCTTAATTTTTACCATATTTCTATCCTGCGTTATTGAGTGAATGGGCAGTTCATCTGGAAATGTGCTAACCGTGTTTGTAGACAAAATAATTCTTGTTTTTTGGAGGGGGTCACTTAAAAGCGATTATGTTTTGTGCAAAACTTTGTCCTTTCAATGAACTCTAAAAGGAAAAAAGAATATATTTTGTTACCAGCATAATTCATTTTCAATGAGCTATCTTTAAAAAGCCTGAGTCTGACATAAAGTACGCACGTATGTACATACATAGGTATGTAGATCCATATGCATATGCGACAGATTAGCATTTCCAAGAAACTTTTTTCACCCCATCAATGATGTCAACCGTAAGAATATGTTTAATCCTACAGAAGCGCGAGAACGGACATTACTTTTTATGTACCTAAGAGGTTCACAAAAAGGTTCATCCCTCACTGCAGTCGTATCACATCATGTTCTTAAATAACATTCTTTCTAATCACTTTCATCTGGTGCAAACTCTCGTCCACTTAATACTATTAACAATGAGGGTGGGCATTCCAGACATTGCAATCCAATCGAGTAAGAGCTAAATATTCGTCTTTATTGCCTTTTGTGCCTTTAAAAAGAGGAAGGAATTGCGCGGTACGTATGGGCCATTTTGCCGTGTTATTGGCTACTGTGATAGTATTGTTGGTCTTTCCCTTTTTTTGGAAATGCTTTCCGGAAAGGAAAGAAGCTGCCTCTAACATTGATTTCCAAGCGAGTCCATTACATAATAAAATGATAACCATGATGTGCCTTTAAATTTTTTAATACAATAAACAAAATTGGACGCACGGTCACTTCATTTTAAGCCGTGAAAAAATTACGCCCCTTTTGTGTACAGTATTATAGTGTAAGAAGTCATAATTTGGGAGTAGGTAGTATCGCCATTAAATGATAACAAATGTAGTGAATATTTTTTTCAACCATTTTCGTTGTCTACTTGTTTATGCTTACTTGTGGCGCTTATTCGTTAGAGGCGAATTTCGTTTGCTATGGACGAACCAAACTTTCCGCATAGTGATTAACCACGAATCGTTATACAAAAGTGGAATGAATATGCTTTCAATGGTGCATAAGATATTTATTTCTTTTTACTTCTACGTGACGATGCTCGCCTTCGTGCACCGCCGTTAGTGGAACTATGGTATGCGAAGGTTACATTAATATAAATCATAAACGAGCAAATGCTTGTGAGTGTAAATGATATTTCCGTGAAGTACTATTAAAAAGGAAATTTATTATATATTCTGCTTTTTTTTTTACGTGTGCGGATGACGACATGTGTAGGAATTTACTTGATTAGATATGTTCCATTCATTTTGCTGATTCTTTTATCGCAAATTCTTTACATTGCTGTGATAGGTTTCCATTCCGCTGTTTTAGAATGATTAAAATGAAGTTAAAAGGAGGAACCAGTGAGGCCCAATGTTGGCTGCAAATGTGTAAGCATTTCCAGTTGCTTCATTATAAGAGGGGTAATAAGTTTTGTTGCATGGAAAGAACATTTTTACATACTGCCTTTTTTATTTTTAAGAGATATAGCATACTATGTAGTAGTTATTTGGTAGCTTGTTAAAAATTTGATTCCAATTGCTGTATATTTTTTGCGGCGGTTGTACGTTGTAATGGACGGCCCAGCTAAGGATTAGCAGGACATATATCTGGACATATGCACAGAAACTTCGTAGGTATACCACATACATGCCGATTGTGCATGTTGGGGTTACCATAAAAAGCAACAAAGATACGCTTGGGGGCTGTTTCTTTAAACAAGAATGTGGAAATTTTTACATATTTTTAGCTCACCTTATATGCATCATTATATATGTGGAAAGGGCACATTAAGCCGGGATGGAAAAGCCCATTCAACTGTTATGGCACCTATTATGTTACAAAAAAAACTATTTTTAAAGAAAAAAAATTGAAGTTATTTTTTTGTCTTTAAAAAAGTCACACCTCTCTTGTATTTTCATTATGTTGTTAGCTTCAATATTTACATTTTTACGCGGCTCATGTACATTTCTCGTATTGTCTACATGTGCACTGCACGGTATACATATAATTTACAAAAAGCTTTTGTTTAATAGCATGTTTTTTTGTCAAATTTATAAAAATAATAATGTTTTTTTACTCTAATGAAATAAATACATACATGTAAAAAAAAAAAAAAAAGAACATTCGAAAGTGTAATATACACATGTTAATATTCTTTTTATTTTATTTTATTTTTTCATTTTTTATGAACAAATATAACTGGTATAATATATGCGGTATGTGAGAAGAAGAATTTTTCATTTAATTAGAAGAAATAAATAAAAAACATTCGTTTTAACCTCTGGTGAATTAATACATGCGACATGAACATATATATATATGTATATACATACATGTATATATTATATGCACAGTTATCATGTATGTGTATAAAGCTATATGTCATTATAAACAAGGATTAATAGGAAAAATTCAACACTATATAATATAGTACTGTATAATTCTCTATTAACTTAAAGAAAAAAAAAAAAAAAAACATATAAATAATGTAGCTCTTAAATTTTAATATATAGAACAGGAGTTCTATTTTCTATAAATAGGTATACGACAAGCTTCAGATATGATGCAGCTTCGAAAGGAATATAAAAAAATAATATTTTATTCCTAAAGGTCAACTTCATGTTGCTGAATTGTACTAAACACCAATTACGAAAGTTTTAAACAAATATATAAATATATATATACACATATATATTTATATAAGTAGATTATATAATAGGCTATGTGCTTGCATAATGTGTGTACACAATAATTCCGTGTTCTCCTGATGAACACAGGGGTAACCCCCCCTGGTTCCACGAGCCACAAGGTGTGTACCTCTCATTTGGTACGTGCGTCCTTTCTCACGCGCAGGTGTACATATATACATGTATACAAATATACGTAGGTCCTCTGCTACGCTACTATGGTCAGTTATCAATTATACAAATGATGCATTTCTTCTTGTACATATAAGATGGTAAAGTCCTTTTTGTTCTTTCCCTCGTCCATTTAGTAATATCCGTGGTATTTAAGTTTTTGGAGGATTTCCTAAAATTCAAAAAGGGTGAATGGAACATTAATTGTCGAATGGGTGGTCCACAGGGATGGATGGAAACGATTGCGGTAATATTTGTACACGCATTTGTATTATGTTCATATTTATGTGTACACACTATATACATTTATGATTTGCCGCGCGTGCTGTTCTTTCCTTTCTGCCTTATTACCTTTTTACCAACGACGTAGGATAAGTATAACATCACATTGAATAACATCAATCCAAGAAAAACGTTGAGGCTGTTGTTGCATGAGCATTCACCTAAAGCGCCTGGTTTCCCTATATAGTCTCCGAAGGTATCGTACAAGGTGGAAGCAACTCTTGGGTCGTAGCTTTGTGAAGGGTCACTCATTTTGAAGGATGGACAAGGGTATAATGTTAATTAAAAGGTTTTAAATTATATTAAAAAACGGGAACGTTCACACGTTAAGAGTTTGCTAATGTGCGAACTTTTGGCTTCACTGCAAGGGGGCGAAAAAGGGGGAACACAAAATAAAAAATGTGTAGGGTATATTATGTATGTAATGTACGTAGGCATGTACACTCATGATGCTAGGCTATCTGGATATAGGAAAAAAATTGCAGCGTCGCATATTGCTAGCATTTCGTAGGTTACAAAAGTTCACATGGTATTATTTATTCTTCACATATGCATTATTATTATACATATATATCATTCATGCAATAAAGGGGACAAAAGTCAAGGTTAACGTGTAAACAACCTTAAGTTTCTGTTAAAAATGAGTTTTAGAGTGGCATAAACATGAATATATATCAGATTAGCATATCACGAAAATGCTATTCATTTACACCTGTACCTGTAAAATTCACTAGGATCCTATATGTATATTTTTAGAAATTTTAAAACAATTAGAATTATAAAATTCTTATTGTTACCATGTTTTTATGACACAATTTTCTAAAAGAAAATGTTAAAAAAAAAAAAACAATGGATATAATAAAAAAGTTTAGTATTTATTTGAAAGTGTTGCAACAAGGTTTACATCAAAAGAATAAAAAATATTATTATGATATTTGCATATTTTTAGGCATATAATTTTTTCTAAATATTCTTTTTTTTTTTATTCTCATATTGTATAATAGCATTTTTACTTCTAGAATTTAAAGGAAAAAATACGCTTTTATTGAAGTAAAAAAATGTTAATTATTTGCCCGATTTTATATATATAACTAGAATGTGAGTTTTAAATGAATATAAATAAAATGTGTTATATTAAGGTATACATATAAAAAATATGCGCACTATGGATTTGTTTGAGCTCATTTTCTTGTTCTTACGCTAATTTGGGTATTTTTTTTTTATTGTATATTTTCTCCACCTTTGAAAAAATACTTGTAAACTTTTATTTAACATATAGCCTATTCTTTGTTTTGTTAAAGTGTGTTTTATTTTATTTATATTTTTTACTTTATTTATTTTTCGTAGTTGTATATTTTTATGCACTTGTTACTTTTTAAATGATGCAATAGTGATATATATTTTTTAATTGTTCTGCGGCGTACTTTTCTTATAATTAGAAAATAGGGAAATTACATATATTATTTATTTTGTTTTAATATAATTCATGCATATATTGAGTGAAAATTGTAAATAAAAAAATAAGTTTGCATTCCTATATTAGAAATAAATGAAAAATTTTATATGAACTTATGAGTTATTTCATAAATAAAATTTTACATTTTGCGGGATAATTTTTTTTAGTTTTCTTTTGGGTTTCCTAATTTTTCAATCAATTTTTTTGGGGTTTTCTAATATTTTTCAATCTTTTTTTTTTTTTTTTTTTTTTTTTTTGGGGGGTATGCCGAATCTATCCTTTCGTATTTTTTAGTTCAATTTTGGTTCAATTCTAGTAAATAATTTTTAGTTAAAGCTGTGTGTTTACGTTTTAGTAATTTTTTACTTGTTCTTTCTTGCTGCACTCAATTTTGCCTCTTAACTGTGCAGCGTAAAATTTACTTATAATGAAAAAATGTGCATGTCGCGGAAGAGGATTCCCGTTTTTTACTTACACAAAATGATCCAAAAAAAATACTACTCATTTTAGGGAATAAAAGAATGTAAATTCCGAAAGAAGGAAAAAACCCTAGCCTCCCCACACATTTCATAAAACATTCCTAACACATACAAACAAGAAAAGACATGGCAGGGAAAAAACAATGCGCTGGTAATTATTGCTATTTTATGTCTCATTTTATTTTATTATTATGAATATTTACTTTATATCGTCCTACAGTGTATAATTTTTTTTGTAAATATATGCAGAGTGAATTATCGTTGATTGGTACAAATTACGGCATTCGAAAAAATTACTGCGAAAAAAAGAGAAACTAGGTATTTTTTTGTTTATTAGAATCTTGCCATATAAAAAAGACAAAGTAGCACACAGGCAATTATTTTTTTCCCGTCTTTGCAGCCTCTTCCAAAGAAAATATACATTTATTAATATATTTGTTCATAGCTTAAAAGTTTGTGAGAATAATTTTCTACAAGGGTTATTTTTGCCTTTATCTGGTTTTAATAAGTGGGTAAAAATATAATACACTGTAATACACTATAACACACTATGATACAATATAGCACACTCTAATACAATATAACACACTATAACACAATATAACACACTATAATACAATATAATACACTATACTATAGTATTATATAATAATAATTATTAAATGTAAGAGACTATTTGATTCTATTGTAGAGTAGTTAAAGGATAAGATTAACTCCTTTTCTGAGTCAACGCCATTTAAGAAAAAGTACGACATGATAATGTACGAGTGGAAATTTATCTGATACACTATGTGAAAGTTGAATACAATAAGAATTTGGACCAGATAAAAAATTACACAGGGAATGAAAATTTAGAAATTATCATAGTCATGAATAAGGTTAAGGAAAAGCTAGCAACATTTAAAGGTCTGATACACAAGCTAGAGGTTCTATTTAATGTCATAAAATCGAAGTATGTAATTGTCATGTCAACGAAATCACTGATTGGGGAACTGAAGAGTGAGTTCAAAACAGAAGAAAACGGAGAGTACAATTTTGATGATCTCATAAGGTTAATGGAAGGAGTATGTAGCAAAATTAACACTGTGAATATAAGTGTCGAAACTGTAAGTAAGACATACAAGAACATTAAATATGTAGAAATACAACTATAAAAATTAAGCACTTCTATCCATAGGTACATGGACACAATAGATGCTTTAGTGGCTAGGAGATCAAATAACGATTATATTACAGGAGAAATGAAGACGAAAATGTTGCTTATCATGGAAAATATTAACAATTAAAAAAAAAAATAAGTACTTTCTCTGCAATAAAAAGTAAAGGAGAATATTGAGGAAATTGATGAATTAATTAGGTGAACACCATTGGATATGAACGAAATTATAGATAAAAAAAAAAGTGACACTTATAATAAAATAAAACTGATTATTAAAGATGTATATGAAGGCAATTTGAAGAATGTTCTGGAAGAAATGTCTCTAAATGTGGACAAAGTATAGAAATACTATCAACCACAGTAGTTCTACGGACGAACTATAGATGGTGTGATAAATAATATAAAAGGTTATTATGAAAACATGAAATTTATCAAATGTGATCGTATATCAGAATCATTGTAGCCTATAACGCATATGCTCAATGTTAATTCGGACGCCAAGGAGGACATCTTAAAAATCCAATTCGGAGATATCAATGAAAAATTAACCAACTCCTTAGGGGAACATAAGAATGCTTGCGACAAATTAAAAGTTAGCATAGAATAGTATACAGCGGGAAACGGGAAGATTGAAAAATACAGAACAGTTATACTAAAAGGGGAAAAAGTATTTTTTGATAAACATATGATAAGAATGATGATATGTTAGAAGTGAAAGATGCTTATGCAGATTTTCTCAAACATAACGACAATTTCCTCAACAACAGAAGTGAAGTGTTTGAAGAATTCTACAGAGCGACAGAGACCCTAATGTAGGCTAGGATCAGTCTTCTATCGTATGTTAATGTGCCGGACAAATATAACATTATCAATGGGGAAGCAAATAAAAAGTATAACGAGTTAATAAAAGAAATTGATGACAAAGATATCGATACGAAATTGCAGTAATGCGCACTAAACACATGACAAAAATATATCAATTTTTAATTGCGCACACTCGTGCTAATTTGGGGTAATGGTGAAAAATAAAAAGGTTGAATGTTCATGCTTAACTGTTGTGAGGTGTAGAATTATTTCTAATTAAAACTTTGTAATAAAAAATGTTCACACATTTTTTTTTTTTTTTTTTTTTTTTTTGAATTTACTATCTGCGCATTTATGACAAAATTAGCGTTTTTTCCCTTTTTAACTAGCAAAGGAGATTATTTGAACTTTTGCATAATTAACCATTTGCATAATAAAAATTGCACACAGAACAAATTGGAAGTGAATTATCCGTTTGGAGTGTCACAAACATACAGACATTTTTATATGTATATGTATGCATACATGCACATGCGTAACATTTGTCTAGGTGCCTTTGACGACTTGAACATTAAGCATTTTCACATTTCCTTTCACAGTTACTATTTGAATTCAAAAAAAGAATGAATCTGTGATTTCATCTGTTTTAAAAGAAACGGATTAAATAAAGTGCATTAATTAAAAACCTGCAACATCATGTTACCATTATATTATTTTGTGTATTCTATTGGAGCACATTTGAACAATATTTTGGTCGTAGATTTCTAATGACATGTTCTAAATTATCCCTCTACTGTTTGCTCTGTTTTTCTGGGTTTCTGAAAAATACACGAAACTCGTGATTGTTCTTATTTTTAAAGCATAGAAAAGCGATGAGTTACAAAAGGGAAATATTTGCAATGCTGTTTAATTGAGATTTAAAAAATAAATTAACTTTTGCTCCGTTTAGTTTCGTTTTGGCGTGTGATATATTCGTTTTAAACGAGCATAAGCTACTTAAATTATTATCCATAGCAGATTTACAAAGATGAGAAAAACAAAAAAAAAAAAAAAAAATGGAAAGAGCTTGGTTTATTATTGTAAACCCTATATTACTAAGGAAGGGAATTTATACAAATTAATTAGATAATCGGATAAACTAATATATAAAGGTTTTATAAACAAAAAATATAAAAATAGAAATAATTATGTTTATTTGCGGTACAGATTGAAAATGTATAAAAAGACATATTTTCAAAAGCAGAAAAGAGAAAAAATTTAATAATTTGGGGGAAACGCATTTTCTCAATATTAAAAGCATATTCTATATATAAACAATAAAAAAACGATTGAGTAACGGAATATATATATTTTATTACATGCACATATGCGAAAATACAGAAAAATTCTTTAAATAATAGCCTTTAATGTTTTATTAACATTAATATACTAGTTGCCAATTTAAGCATGGCTTTTTTATAATTTCCTGTTTTTCCATAAAGTTTAAGGAAAATATGTTTTCATTTTTCATTTACAAACAATTTTCCTTTTACTTCTTTTTATGACATTCATGTTTATGAGGAAATATGAATACATTTTAATAAGGAAAATAGGAAATTGCAAAATTTTAATTTTTTTTTTCTGGGAAAGCCCTGCTACTTGTGTTCATGATTAGTCGGTTAATTTATAACCCTAATCTTCAATAATAGTAGGAACAGGATATTACAAATTAACAGTACATGATAAGGTGATAATTCTTTTTTTCTTTTTTTTTTAATTATTTACAACTTTAATTGGATTGTATGTTATTAATATGCAGACGATTCTCTTCCGGAAAGTACATTTCGTCTCTCTGTAACCCATGAATTCCACTGCTTCCTTCTGATCCATGTGTTTATAAAGTTTTCCATCCAGTCGCAAAATAATTGACGTTTTTCATTTTTCCATTCATCCCATTTATCGGCTTTACTTTTTACAATTAACTCATCCTTTGATTGCACCCAACTATCCCATTCTGACTTTTCCCTTTCGATCCTGTTTTTCCATGTTAAATATTTTTTTCTTTTTTTTTTATGTAGCAACAGGGCCAAATTTCCATTTTGCGATTCTGCCCAATGTTCATATTCATCACTTTTCCATTGACTCAATTCCCAATTAAACTTCTTTAAGGATCTCCATTGGCACCAGTCATAGTTAACCCATTCACTCAATTTACTGTCATGATCGTTTATCCACTTAATCCATTCTTCTTGTATTAGTTTTTTTCCATCTGTTTTCATCCATGTTGTCCACTGAGATTCATTCCACGTTGGATATTTTTTGTAAAGATCAGTGCCATATTCCTTATCCAAGTTGTGGTTGTAATTCATCCATTTAGTTTCCATTTCTTTTGTCCATTTTTTAAATTCTCCTTCTGTTTGCTTCATCCAATCGGTTGTTTTGTTTTGCAGATCTAAAAAGAAAAAATGCCACTGTTCATCTATCTGCTGCAACCATTTATTCCATTCATTAACTTTCCATTCTTCTGTTTGTACGGTTTTATTTGAGTTATCAGCATTTGCACCTTTTTCACTGTTTTCTTTATCTTTTGAAATTATATTTTTAAGGTTTAGTTTTTTTTTCATTTTATCTTGTTGTATTCCGGCATTCGCTTCCTGTGTCACATTCGTTGGTTCTTCATTTGTCTTGTCCTGTGCTTGTTCGTTTTTTGGGGGGTTCTCTTGTCCCGATGTTTCACGTTTATGAACCGCTCTGGTATCGCGCTTTGCTACTCCGCTGGTTACATGTTTCGATGGTCCAATGTTTTGACGTTTAGGAACCGCGGCCGAATGGCGCTTTGCTACTGCGTTGGCATCAGTTTTTTTTCCTCGCCTGGTTGCACGTTTCGATGGTACACCCGTTGCACGTTTTAATTGTTCACCTGTTTCTGACTTTGATTGTCCTTTTGTGTCAGGTTCTAGTGTAATATTTTCAGTGCTTTCCATTTCTTCATTTGTGTTGCTATCTTTTTCAGTTTTTTTTTCTATTACATTTTCCTTTATGTCACTATCGGTGGTTGCTTCTTCATCGGCATCTTCGGAATTTTTCAAAGATTCTTCATCAGTTGTGTCTTTGATCATATCTTCGTCACCTTCTTTTGTGAAGCTGTATGGTGGCTTGTTCTGCGCGAGTTCCCAATAAAACTTATAAAGGTTGCTGTTTGCTTCTGCAAATTTCATGCCACTGTTAAATTCTGTCATGAATCTATCACCTAATCCTTTTTGCATAGAATCCTGTTCGTTTCCATCATGGTCTTCTTCGTCTTCCTTATTATCCTGGTCATCACCTTGTTCTAGTTGTCGTTGTCTTTCCTGTTCTTCTTGTTCTAGTTGTCGTTGTCTTTCCTCTTCTTCTTGTTCCAGTTGTCGTTGTCTTTCCTGTTCTTCTTGTTCTAGTTGTCGTTGTCGTTCCTGTTCTTCTTGTTCTAGTTGTCGTTGTC